ACTCTATCCAGGTTAATACAGAATATGTAAAGTCACCATCTTTTTATGGCTGAATAGTATTCCATGGCATACATACAGCACAGTTTGTGAATCCATTCCGAAGCTGATGGGCATTTAGATTGTTTCCACATCTTGGAGACTGTAAATTGAACTGTGATAAATAATCTAGTGCAAATATCTTTATGAGAAAAGGATTTGTTTTTCTTCTGAGTAGATGCCCACAAGTGGAACTGTGGGGTCAAATGGGGGGTCTAATTTAAGTTCTTTGAGGATTCTCCATGTTTCCTTCTGAAAAGGCTGTATTATTCTGCAGTCACATCAACAGTGTAAAAGTGTTCCCTTCTCTCCGCATTCGTGCCAGCATCTGCAACTTTGGGACTTCATGATGTGGGCTAATTTTACTGGGGTTAGGTGATATCTCAAGGTGGTTTTGATTTGCACAGTGACAGATGGACTTGTTTGGTCTTTTTTGTTGATTAATTTGAGTTCTCTACAGGTCCTAGTTATCAAACCTTTGTCAGATTTGTAATATACAAATAACTTTCCCCATTCTGAAAATTCTGTTTGCTTTGATTGTTGTGTCCTTAGCTATGCAGAAGCTTTTCAGTTTAATTAAGTGCCATTTTGTTTATTTTTGTTGTTCTTGCAATTGTCACTGAAGTGTTCATAAAATCTTTCCCCAGGTTGACATTCTCAAGAGTCACCTTCATATAATCTTTAATAATCTGGTGCTAAGTCCAAAAGGAAAATCCTTTAAAAGGCATGTATATCTATGTGAAGTTGTATAGGAAAGACACAGAAAGATATTATCCTATGGCCTTGGAGCCAAACCCCTTCACAGATTCCTTCAAGGAAACTGGGTGCACCTTGATAATCACAGAAGCTCCTCTGTCCAATGAGGAATTAAAATGTGCAAACTGGAACGTTGCCTCTGCCCTGAAAGCTGCACCTACATGGCAGTGCTGCAGTGTGACCCTGCCCTGTCCTGGTTTATCTTAAAGGAGGAAGTTGATTCTCAAATCCTTTGACAAAGGGACCCTCCCCTACCTACTATACCCCACCTTACACACAAGGCTTTGCTAGAGTAAACCCCATCACTGAAAAGAAGTCATGGCCACTATTCAATGTGAGTCTCAGAAATGACAGGCATGATGCTGAAGTCAGCTCTTCCAGCTGGGTGTGGCCCTGCACCCCAGGTTCCACCTGCTTAGGGCCCACAGGCTTCTTTCCCGGTGGCAAAGCCAGTGGTGGATTCTCTGGACCAAGGTAATCTGAGGGCTCTTCTGGCCAAACATGTCCTTGCAGAAAGCCTCAGGTTCTGTCTGCCTCAGGAAACCAGTTCATTTTCCACATTTACCTAAAACAATAAGCATATTTTAACAAGTAGTATCATTTGGCTGGCAGCCTGTCCTAAACAAAAAACACTTTGACCCCCTTTGTAATCCCATTGGACAACTTGGGGCGGGGGAGGCAGCTAGCCTCATAAAAGAGAAATGTTCTGTGAAGAAAAAATAGGACTCGTGGCACTTGATGGAAAGATATGTGTTATACAAATTCTTGTGGAAAGACACATTCTAGAGAAAATGTAAAAAGGCACCAAAAGTAGAATCAGACAGATAGGGTGTGAAGCTACCCCTCTTAGCTGTATGATCTTGAACAAATTAAACCTTCTAAGCCTATTTATTTATAAAAGCAAGATAAGGATAGCATTCAAAATCGATGTGAGGATTAAATGAAATCACTCATAGAAATTACCTCTGTACTATTACTGCGCAATATCTAAAAGAACCAACCCAAATAATTTGCTATGTAGGTTTAAAGGGTGCACTACTCCATCCATAAACAAACTCCTCTTCATATCCTCTGAGATTTCTCACTACCTCCAGGATGAATGAGATCATATATACAGCAGAGGTCCGTCACCTGATGGGAGTTATGGAAACATTTGGAGAATTTAAAGAATTCTCAGAGCTCCTTTTCCAAAGAGGTCAACACTCTAGATATGGGGGTTCGTGGAGGCAATGAAGCTCATCTATGGGCTGCTGCAAGCTGAGAACTTGTGCCTTGAGCACTCAAACTTGTACACCCCCCCTTCTGTCTGCAGGGGGCAGTGGAAGCTGCTCTCCCTTTTGTTCAGGATACATGATTGTTGCAGGACTCACCCTTCCTACATCCAAAGCCATCACCCTTGGCTGAGGGCTAGTCAGTCCTCCAAGATCCTGATGGTCTTGCCACAGGCAAGCCCTTCTTCCCACCCCACACCTCATGCAAGGGTACAAGTCCAACTGGCCTAGTTCCTTCATCTACATGGGAAAAAGCCAACAGGACTGAATGCATTAAAGAGGTTGCACCATCTCACTGAAGTCACTTCCCCCTTTACGATGTAGGGTAACAGCCATTTTTCAAGAGTTTACACTATATATTTGGCATTCATTGTCATCTAACCCTTTCGGTAACAGCAGGAGGTAGGTTTGATCATGTCCACTTGGCAGTCAGCTGCACCATTGACAGTTTAAAAGTCACTTTCTGCAGACTTCCCAGCTAGTGAGTGAGGGGCCAGTCTTCAAACCTGAGCCTCTCCAACCACAGGGCCTTGCCCTCGCTCTGCCACCTCTTACTCCCTGACTCAGAAGTCCTGCAGGTGTCAGGGGGATATTTCATAACCACTGACTTTTGTGGTCTTTAATTGCTTTGCAGTGGTCCCCAAATATTGCTTAGTCTTCTTATTTTGGCTCCCCAGCCTTGAGGAGGTCCCAGCAGGAAGATTGCCCTCCACTTAGAAGTCGCTCCTTGCTGGCTCCACACTTTCATGAATCCATAATGTGCACTCCCAATGCTGTCAGTGTCTGACTTCTCAAAAAGGCCTGTGCCTGGTCTTCAAAGTCTCTGAATCAGCCACTCTATTAACTTGTTGCTTCCTATTTCAGATAAGAACCAGCCCTTTTGTGCTATTTGAATTTCAAATATTCACTCTCCTTATCAGCTTGCCTGCCGCTGTCCTCTGAGAATCCAGTTCAATCATTGGTGGTGACTGAACTTCCTTTTATACAGCCAGGACCGTGGAGCTGGGATCCAATGCAATGAGAGTGAGTGAGTGTGTTTTAATTACACCTGACCTTTCACAAAGCAACGTCTCGGTACATTGCCATGCTCCTTGAAGATGTGTTTATGGGGAAGTTTCTTGAACATTCAGCAGTTTTACATGTATGTGGTACTTTAACAGAATGTTGAGAGCTTACTGACAAGTGGAGAATTGAGGCTTCTCCCATGGGATAGTTTCTGTCATACTTACACCTCCCATGTCCTCATCACTATGCTCTGACCCTGGCGACCCTATCCGAGGTCACTCCTCACAGTAACAGTGTGGCTTTCCTGATTCTGTTCTATACACAGCCACAGTGGCTTGACAAAGGCCCCACTGACTGACCCAGAATTCTCCTCAGACATAGATTGAGCCTGGAGGCAGGTGGGAGTAGAACAACAGGAGTCAGCACTTGGCACGCAGCTCAGAAGAGAGAGACCCAAGGACAGTCCTGGGGTCACCCACAGGCAGGAGGCTGCACAGCCTGCACTCACCACATGGGCCACGGAGTGGGGCACTACCCCAGGGGTTGCATTCTGACTCTGTCGCTTATTGGATAACCCTGGGAAAACACCAAATGTGTGACGAGGGTGGTGACAGTCCCCATCTAGTGGTTGTTGTCATGGAGCATAGACCGGAGTACGTGCTACATAAAAATGTCCTCCACAATGATGCGTGACCCCAAAGGGGATGCAGGGAGAACTCATGAGGCCATGGACCCCCACCCCAGCCAGAGCAGACTGAAAACTTGAGCCCCACTGAACTGCTCAGCCTCAGCCCTGCCAGGCCATGTGAGACCTACCTGAGGGCGCCGTCCTCTGGGGCCACGGAATCTTCTAGGTCTTCCCACTCACTCTCACTCTCGTAGGACTCTTCCGGAGGCAAAGAGTCTGGGAGGGTGCCCCAAGAACAGAACTGTGTCAAGGGGATGGTCCATGAATCTGCCTCCAAACACTCTCCACAGGGTAGCTGGCCTTCGGATGCAGAACTGGTGGGGGGAGAAGGGGCTCCAGGTGGGTGGTACGTGTCAACTTCCTTGTCATCCCTGTCCAGTTCAGGACTAGAAAACAGAAACCCCTGTGTCTTCCAGCCTTCCCTTGCCTCTTAGGATGCTTACCACAGTGCCGCCGTGAGACCCAGGCAGCCTCCAAACAGCTCTTGCTGGAGACTGCTCTGGGCCGCAGGAAGCAGAGAATGAGATCCAGCCCCTGTCCTCGAGGAACCCCAGGTTAATGAGCAGAAAGAGCCGTAAACAAATGCTACAGTCCAGGTAGGAAATGTGAAGGCAGAGACAGAGCAGAGCAGCCTAGCACGGGGCACCCTACCAAGTTCAGGAGACCCAGGGGTGCTTGCCAGGGGGCATTGCAAGCACAGCAGGGACCTGTTTCTAGGGCTGACTTTTTACATGATAAGTAGAGTCCATCAGACTATGCACAAGTTTACTGACTTTTCTGGAACCTCATCTGAAAAACTGGGCGGTCAGGAAGCTTATAGGACTGTTGGGCTACTTAAACTGCATAATTCTGACATATGCCTCGGGGTGCAGGGAGCATTTCAGTACATGTGAGAGGCTGTGGTTACTGCTGCAATCATGATGACTCTCGGAGCAGAGGCCCTACATGGAAAGGGCCCAAAGAGGGGGTTGGGAGTGACTCCAGCAGGCGACTTTCAAAGCACTTTGTGCAGAGATCAGGTCCTTTTCTGAACGCTGAAAACATGCCTATTTAGACAGGCAGCCAACTGGAATGACTTTTACTCCCTGTGGAAGGACACAGGAGGCAGACGAATGGTGAAGCTCATTATCTGGCGATGCAGCCGCAGGCACAATGGTCAAAGAACAAGCGCTCCGGGCTGGCCAGGTCCGGCGCACATGCCTCTTGATTAGAAAGAGCAGCCCAAGCAGGAGAGGGGCATTTCGCACAGCGCTGCAGACATGCAGAGAAGGCACTCAGAAAATATCTGTTGAAAGTCTGGTTAGAGAGGATGAGAGGGAAAATCTAAGAGAAAAGCACAGAGATTTAGCTTTTTATCAAACGCAGATCCTGGTTCATTAGCCTCCTTTCCCCCACCCCTCCAGCCTCCTTCCCTCCCTCTCCTGCAAATCAGCAGGCTGGCCTGGTTAAGTGCTGCTGCCCCCTCCCTTCCCTTTCCCTTTCTCTTAAATCAGCTCTGATGCTCCAATAGCTATACACCCCCAACCCCAAGCCCCCAGATCGTCCATCCCCCTCCCCAGGACAGCCAGTGCAGACCAGAGCATCTGTCCCCAACCCTGAGCTTCCCTGTGAAAGAGACATTATTTCTGCTCATGGAGAGCTACAGGAAATGTAAGAGTACATTTCATATAAATATATGCACACTCATGTGTATAAAAAAGAAATTATTCTACAAGAGCTAAAAAGGAACACTCATTTTCAGAAAAAAAAAAATTTTAATTGCTGAGTGTTTGGAGAAAAAATTGATTTAAAAACTTGGCCAAATTGTGTAGGAACTGCATTTTCTTATAAACATAAGGAGGAAATGTTCAGAGGTTTTAATCAAAGAATGGGAAACCTGGCCCAAGCCCACATCCCTCAAGTACCAGCCCCTTCCCCGTACCCTGAGCATGAGGAACCCTATGGAGGGAGCCCCTGGTGGCAAAAATGTGTGCCCATCAGCCCTGGCAGCCACCTCATTGTCCATGCCTCATTCTCACCACTAGGCTCCCCACCCCCACTCCCTGCTGATCCCTTCTAATATGCTTCTTGCTGTCTGGTTTTAATGTGGAGCTACAGCTACTGGTTCTGCCCGGACAGAGACCTAGGAAAGCTGCCAGCCTGAGAGGTAAGAGACAAGGCCGACCGTCATGGTGGTGGTCCCAAGGGTGAACTCCTGGCTGCCAGGCCACCATAAGTCAGGGAGAATGACTGACTTTCCTTCCACCCTTGTGTATGTGCCACCAGGCTGCCCGAGGAGATCCCACCTTCAGCCCAACTGTGAGTGTGGGAAAATGTGAACCAGGCACAAGGAAGCAGTGTTTGTCCCAAGGCAGTGCCTATATTTTATAGGAGCAAGACTGGAGATTTGGGACATTTGATAACGACGGTGGTATTCCTTAGAGCAAGGCCTGATGTTTTGGCAGGTAGATTGCCAGGTAGAGAGGCAGAGTTCCCTACCCAGGGCTCAAGGCCAGCTCAGGCATCTGGGGCTAATGCAGAGGACCCTTGCTGAGAATCTGAAGGGTTCAAGGTGTTCAGAGCTCTCTGCTCACCCCTGGGTACATGTAATGACCTTGCCTTCCCCTGGCCCTTTTTTCCTGCCTACCACGCTGTCTGACAGAAGGAGACTTTTACAAATAGATGGTACTCAGAGGAGAATCTAGAGATCTCACATGGGCCTCCTGCCCAGCCACTTCCCCAGCACAAGCTGGAAGGGCCCCAGAACAAAGGTCTCCACCAAATCCTGCAACTCTTCAATAACTAATTTTCAGAAGAAGAATTCCAGTTCACCTTTGAGGTCAGCAAAACCATTCTGAAGCACGTGCCTCACTATTTGCTGCTGGACAATTACTGAGAAATGATACTGTGCCCAAAAGCTAACCTTTAAAGACTTGGACCACCAAAATCATCTCCACCTTTCAGGAAGACAGATCAAATTAGCAGATAGTATTTCAGGCTTAAAACACAGAGGTATTGTGATTATCCTATTACCTTATGGTGAAACTCACACAAAGTTTGAGTTATATGTCTCTCCACATAAGATTCAACTTTCTCCAGCATCAGGCCCTGCCCACATGTCCCTGTTTGCTCTGGGGATACAGCTGGGAGCTCCAGGCATTTGCTCTTACTAGATGAGTATAGATAGCATTTGGCAGATTGGATTTGCAGAGTCTCTAACACATCAAGGTAGACAGGTCTAATGGACTTCCACATATGAACCTTTAATGGTAAACCTAAGCTGAAGATTGTTTGGGTGGGGGAAGGCAGGCTCTCTGGGAGCCTGTCAGTGTGTAAAGAGAACCCTGCTGGAGGCAGAGCCAGGCCCCAGCCTTCCCCAGTCCCTGCTCTATATTAGACTATTACACCTTCCAGCTGGACATCTGCCTCATTTAACTCCCCTCAGTCACACTCTGACCCAAGAGCAGGCATGACAACCCCTTCTTGTGCCAGTATCATTCTTTGCTAGCTACTCTGATGTCACACCTGGCATGGGAGCGGCAGGTGAGTAAGACCTCTGGCCTCCTAATTATCCTTCATCATTCCAGGAATGTATAAAGTAACTTTGTGTTACTGCTTCATTGAACATCCTTAAATGACCACAAAGACATATCATCACTTTTCCAAAGCGATACTTGATGATTTTTCATGCATTTTACTTACTTGAGTTTAGCAATAAGTGCTAGACAAAGACAGAGAGAGAGATTACCTTAAACATTCTGCATTGACTAACTTTCCACCTAATGGGCAGAAGCCCTGGGGTGCATATGAGTGGGAGAACTGACTCCTTCATTCCCTCAGTCCCTCTTTCTTCCTATGGGGCCAGCACTTAAAGACAAACATTTTGCATACACCCTGGCCCATAAATGCAAGCCTCCAGATTTTTCTGAGGTTCAACCAAAGAAAAAGTGATCTTCTCCCATGCCCAGGGAGCAAATAATATCACACCTTCTAAAGTGATGCTCAAGAGAGTGCGATAAAAGAAAAGAATGGGGAGAAAAGTAAAATCTAATCCTCTCTCTGAACGCTGTGGGTTTGTTAAGGTGCTGGCAGCCATCTGGCTGTATAGTAAGTAGCCACCTGGCAGATGGTAAGTTCTGGCAATTTGCTGGGAATTTCAGGTGATGCGACTTGTTCTTTTTGCTAGAAACAGCTCAGGAACAGGAACAAAAATGGACTTGCATTGAGTTCCTACTGTGTACTGGGCTCCACAATGGCACTCTGCATGGGTTGTTTCTTTTGACCTGTGAGTACCCTGTGGAATTGTCACAGCTCTCATTTATATTTGGGAAGCTTTGAGCTCAGGGAAATCAACTCTCCAGGCCTTCAAGTAAACAGAAAAGCTGAAACCAAGCTATGCAATAGAGATATCTGTACTCTTTTTCTTCTAAACTACAGAAGAATTTGACACACAAGTGCCACAAACAAAGAATCAATTGGCCTGGGGCAGCCAGCTTAGAACTGAGCTATAGACATTTCTAGGTGGGTCTGCAAAGAGCCAGGATCCCACTTTGGAATCCTAATTCTTCCCCTAACCAGGAGCCCTGGAAACTGTCCAGTGATTGCCGATCATGCACCATGCTCTTCTTCCTGTAGGGGGCAGTCACTAACTGTGTGTGCCACTCTGTGTTGGAGAGGCTGACATAGTTAGAGAGGAGGAAAAGTTCTGAAGTGGGAAAGAGAAAATAAGGTAAAAATAAAGCCAGGAAACATGAGCAGGCAAAATACCATCATTACCGGAAACACCACAGGGAGGCAAGTGCATAAGGGAGGTGTTGGCCATTGGAGGAGCCGGTGCTGAGGACAGCAAAGCTGTCTGCCCCTGGCTGCATGTACCACACCCATCCAGACAATACCCATGGGGTGGAATGTTCAGAACAGGACCTCATGATTTTTGTGTGACTCCAAGAAGGAACAGCCCCCTCCAAGAATGACAGATTTTGCACATCTGGTATACCCTCACAAGTATGACCACTTAGGCAAACTTAATTTGATTCAGAAAAACAGAATGTGAGGTTTCTTACCAAAAAAAAAAAAAAGTGAACAACAAAAAGATAGGAGGAAATAGGAGTCAGGACTTATAAGTAGCAGACATAAAGAGGTAGATTTCTCCTCAAAATAAGGAAGCACTTTCTGAACAACTAGATGACGATAAAATGGGTCACCTCCAGAGATAGCAAGTTCTTCATTTCTGGAGATATTTGAGCAAAGGTTAGACCACTTCTTCAGGGATGTTACAGAGCAGTTTCCAGCAAGGAGCATGAAGTTAGAGTAGTTAATGTTTATATTGAACAACCTGATATTCTGTGATTCAATGAGTGAAGCAGTGACTGTCTATACTAATAATTTTAAAATACTTTTTAATAACCATTGACTATATTAGATTAGAAGCACATGGCAAGTCTAATTCCAGGCTTGTACCTAAACCCAGAGCCAGTTTATAATTCAGCTTTTAGCATCTCCATTCATTATTCTAAACTATCTGGCAGTAAAACCTTTAAAAATTCAAACAAATGGCCTCATGCCTGTGGGGAAGTACAGTTTTTTATTTTTTATATGTCCTATATGATTATGCTAGTGGTTGTCCTTGGATAAATCTCTGTAGGTTATTTCCTTTATCATTTTATCAAGTGTCATCAATTACTGCCGAGACTGCAATCATAAGGAACTATAAATACGCTTGTGTTTATACATTCTCAGACAGTGAAAATGAGTACCACTGAGGAGTGTGCTTGCTCACCCTACTCTACTTTGCAAACTATTGTATTCTACCATGTGTAATGCACGCCCGTGTACAACGTGCAACCACATTTGGGGCCCAAACTTTCAGGAAGAAAATCCTTCCCAATGATTTTCCAATAATTTTTATAAAAATTATCAGCTAGATTGCTAGCTCCTGCCTAAAGTGTACAAAGAGAAATACGTTGCTCTTCATTGGCTGAAATTGCTTTCACTGCAAGTTCATTATCAGTTCAACAAAACCAATTACCATATTCCAGGGTATTATTTTGCATACAAATATCTTTTTTTTTTTTTTGAGACAGAATCTCACTGTGCCACCCTGGGTAGAGTGCCATGGCATCATAGCTCACAGCAACCTCAAACTCCTGGGTTCCAGCCATCTTCTTGTCTCAGCCTCCTGAGTAGCTGGGACTACAAGTGCTCCCCCTGACTCCTGGCTAGTTTTTCTATTTTAGTAGAGATGGGGTCACTTGCTCAAGCTGGTCTTAAACTCAGAGCTCAAGCAATCTTCCTTCCTTGGCCTCCTAGAGTGCTAAGATTATAGGCATTAACCACTGCATCCAGCCCAGATATCATTATTGATTTCTAGAGTTACACTGCTAATGCATAAGCATAAATAAAAGAATATAAAAATGTATATACATACAGAATTAGTACTACCCATGTATAATTTGCATCCTTATTTTTCCCTCAGAAATTTGAGCAAAAAATGTATGCATTAAACTTGGCAAAATATAGTAGTTTGTTTGTTTGACTTGCACAGCTTTCTTTAAAGCTTTTAGGAAACATATGCCTGGCCCCTGTTTGTCAAAGCTCTCATCGGGCCTAATTGTTCTACACCCTGCTTCATGCTTCATAGAGACTGCTTATCCTTATGGATCTGCCCTTGTTTGCCTTTTAAGATGACCTCCCCAAAAGAGTCATTTAACAGAAGTGGGTTTACATAGTGTCAAATATATCATGTGCCTGCCTTGTGTCCGTGAATCCGGCTAGCAAGCATCTAGAAGCAGAACCTCACTCTGCATTTACACCCCTCTTTTCTGCTCCTAACAGGTTTCCAAGCACCTTGAGTATGTATAATAAGTACTTGTCAAATTGAGTTGAAGAAGATATTTTCCATCAGAATAGAACTGAGAACTAGAAATACATACAGGTACTTGGGCACCAAAATACAAATTAAATTAAAAATGGCTATTAAAATGAATGTTTCTTTTATTTTTTTTTTTGAGACAGAGCCTCAAGCTGTCCCCCTGGGTAGAGTGCCATGGCATTACAGCTCACAGCAACCACCAACTCCTGGGCTCAAGCAAGTCTCCTGCCTCCGCCTCCCAAGTAGCTGGGACCACAGGCGCCCACCACAACACCCGGCTATTTTTTGGTTGCAGCCGTCATTGTTGTTTGGCGGGTCCGGGCTGGGGATTCGAACCTGCCACCTTAGGTGTATGTGGCTGGCGCCTTAGCTGGTTGAGCTATAGGCGCCGAGCCATGAATGTTTCTTTTTATGTGTGTTTTATTATTTAAAAAAAGAAGAAGAAGAAGAAAAGAAAAGGTGGTATAGCCAGGCATAGTGGTGTACACCTGCAGTGTCAGGTACTTAGAAGCCTAAGGCAGGAAAATCACTTGAGCTCAGGAGGTCAAGTCTATCCTGGGCAACATAGTAAGGCCCCATCTCTTAAAAAATAAAAGCTGATTATCAATAATAAATCATCATATTAGCAATAAAAATGAGGGTGAATACAAGAACTTCTTTCTTACTGCAGTGCTTTAAGAGGCCATGAAGGAGGTATGGCAAATGTTTGTGTACTGGGAGAAACTCCAAGGCCCGCCATCTGTAGCCACCATGACATACTGGGGACAATGATGGTCTAAGTAGGGTTTGATTCTTCAAAAGCTCATAAGTTGTGGTTATGGCAGCCCCAAACCTTATACTTTTCTTATTTCCTCCTCTCCTCCAAATACGTAGAACAGTGCGATTGCATCTGAGCAGAGTTGCTGATTGCTTGAATGTTATTTTCTAACAATGAAATGCATACGATTTGCAAAATGTCTGAAAACATGGTGATTCTTACCTTCCAAGTCTCCTGATATCACAAACTGAATAGCAATTTTGCCTGATATCCTTTTCCAAAGAGGTTGCCAATGTTGACGCATCCCTTTCCTGGTGAAGGTTGCATAAGTGAGGGTGGGAACTGGGAGAATGCATCAGGGAACCGGCCCAAGGTCTCTCTCTGTCTTGATCCCATTGCACCTCCCTGAAGGCCTTTTGGGAAGACTCTGGCCTGAGACCCAGGCCTTCCCCTGTGTCTGGAGAGGCACTGTCCCTCCAGCTGTCCTCTTGATCCAAGCTGGGGCTCCGCTCTGAGTCGGTACATGTTGCCCTGGTGAATGCTTTGTCTGCTGAGAGTACGGGTGTCTATTAAAAGAAATGCTAATTATTACAGGCTCCATGGTGCACACCGAGAAAAATACAAAAGTTGCTATTTTAAAAGTAAAAAGCTTTCTTTCCCATGTGATGGTAGATCAGAGCAGATGAACTTTGGGGACCATCTACCTCAGATAGTGTCCCTTGGTCTTCAATCTGACCACTGGAGCCACATTAATGAATCAGAATCCCTCTTCCACGTGGCCATCAGGTATAAGCAGGATAAGTGGGCCCATGATACCTCTCCTAAACCCTCCCCACTAGGTTCCTCTGGGCTCTCCTGGGTGGAACTATGCTCTAGGACAGAGGAGGGACTATTTCCTAGATCTTTCAACAAAAACACAAGATCCAACCACCATGGCCTGATCTTTGTGTGTGTGAAATTTAACCCTGTCTCACCCTCTTTGAGTTGCTTAACACAATTGCCTTCATTGACCTTCTATTCCAAACCAGCAACTTTGAATATCTTTCCCACCAGATGCTCTCACCAAAGTCTGTATCAAATGACCTCTTTGAGTCCAAGCATCAAGAATACTTGGGTCACCAAGTCCCTTATGCTATATCCCTTGTGACTGCCACCTTCAGTCATGCCAAGTGCTCATTTTTGTATCCAGATCTTACTGATGAGGAATCTTGAGGTCCAGAGAAATTAGGCAACTGCCCAAGGAGCATGTGGCAGGGTAGGTAGAAGTGATTCAGGCACCTGCCCAGATGCTCGTCCAGAACTGAGCCCCTCATCCCACTGCCACAGGGACAGCTATTGATGGCTCCAAGCCAGCCCCTCCCTGGGAGCTGGCTCAGCCACCCTTAGGTCCCTCCCCTGGGGCAGCCCATCCTCCAGCACTGGTTGACACAGAGTTCAAAAGCACAAGCTCTCCTGCCCTGATTCAGGGCAGCTCTGAGGTTCACTCCAGCTCTAGAGCTCCTTGTGGGGTCAGCTGCATGCTGATCTCTTCCTCTGCCCAGCCCAGCTGGCCTCACTTCCACAGGCGATGTTCTCTAGAGCAGCCCCATAAACCTCCTACACCAAGACTCTGCTGCAGAGTCTGTTTCCTGACACCTCACAGGGATCATGCGATAGGTAATTTTATGTGTCAACTTAGCTGGACCATGGCACCCAGCTATTTGGTCAAAAGTCAGCCTACATACCACTGTGTAGATGATTTTCAGATGTGACTAACATTTAAAGAGTAAAGTTTATAACCCTCCATAATGTGATGGGCCTCGTCCAAGCAGTGAAGATTTTAAGAGTAAAGACTGGCCTCCTCCATGGAAGAGGGAGTTCTGCCTCTGGACTGCCTGTGGGCTCAAGTTTCTGTATCAGTTCTTCCCTGGGTCTCCAGCATGCTGGCTTGCCATGTAGAATTTGGACTGGCCAGCCCTCATAATCAAATGAGTAATTCCTTAAAATAAATCTCTGTCTTATTTTTTTTCTCTTTCTCCTGTTGGTTCTGTTTAATATTTCTCTGGAGAATCTAACTAATATAGACATCAAACTAAAAATTCCCCATTTTCGGTTTCCCGTGCTCTTTATACTAGAGCACACATGTCTATTTCATGCTTTAGGGGAGTAGACATATATCCTGTCTTTCACTTCATTTCTCAAAATGGAAAATCTTATTGTAAATCCCCTTGGTTTGGTTGTGTCTACTCTCTGGATCCCCTGGTTCCCCCTCTCCGATTCCTGGATTGCCAGAGACCCTAGCTTTGAAGCTTTTACAGCCAAAATCTGGCTGTATGAACATTTACAAGACCTAAATGTCAGTGAGGCAGAATCAGGGAGAGAAAAGAGGCTCACTGAGCTCTGGGGGGCAGCTCTTTCCTGCCCCTGTGCGAGGAGGTTGCACTGAACCCTACAAGCAGTGCTAGGCTTCTTAGGACCCAACAGAGAGGCAGGGATGCCTGGCAGGAGCCAGGTGAAGGGAGCGGGAGATGCCTCATCTTACCTGCCATCCCTGCTCCATGTCTGGCAGTACACCTGGTGGGGGTCGGCAAAGGAGGAGCGTGACTTCCTGTGGGGCCCCTCGCAGTAAATGGAGCACCTCCTATGAGAAGCCAAGAGCTGTGGTTAGATCTGCTGACATTGCTGGGGGCTCCTCTCTGGTCCCTACCTTCTCTTAGGTGCTTTCCACCCCCACCTTGATTCATTTCTCAGCTCCTAGGGATCCTTAGGGAACAACACTGTGGCCATGAGAACCAAGGTTCCCATAAGGGTGATGCACAGGTACTAGGCTGAAATGACCAGGGTCTGCCCAGGGCCTTTTCAGGGCAGTATCTGCCAATACCAAGGACTGTTCTTCAGACAGAAAGAATAACTCAAACAAATGCTTTCCCATCTCAATCCCCCTTCCCTCCCAATCTCCCTTCTTCTCAGGGAACACCATTCTTGTAGCCCAACTAACCTAGTCATTAATGCTTGGCAGGTGGCTCTGAGTTTTATAAAATGGCTTGGCTTAGGCTCTGGGAACCTCTCACATGTGATATTGCAGTGACCTCTTCTCTGCACCCTGCCTGCTCCAGTGCCACCCACCTGCCTTCTCCCACATTGCTTAAGGGCGATCTTTCCAAAATGCAGATATAACCAACCTTTCTCCTGCTGCACCCTCCTAATCACCTTGCCCTCAGCATAAGCTCTGGACAGAGCACATAGGACCCATTCTTACCTGGCACTACCTCTTACCACAGCTCCCTCTCTTCCACCTGCTCCCCTCTGCACCCACATCCTAGGCTCCTGTCATACTGGAACTCTTGCTCTAAGCCACCCTCTTGATGCCCAGGACTCAAGGTTGCCTTGACAGCTCCCATTTCCCACCTACACCAAGATTTCTCAGCCTCTTGGCACTATTGACATTTCAGGCTAAAGGATTCTTTGTTGGGATACTTGTCCTGCCTACCGGATGGCAATTGCACCCATCAGTTGTCTCTGGACTTGGTCAAATGTCCCCCAAAGGAAAGTTATCCCAACTTGAGAAGCACTGATACTGAAGCCCCTCCAGGACTGAGGCCTCATCCCACTGTCAGAAGGACAGCTGCCAATGGCTCCAAGCCAGCCCCTCCTTGGGAGCTGTGGTCAGTTCAAGGGAGCTGGCTCAGCCACACTTAGGTCCCTCTCCAGGACAGCCCAAGCTCACTCTCCCCCACCTGCTCCCCTCTGCACCCACATCCTAGGCTCCTGCCTTATTGAACCTCTTGCCTCAAGTCCCTGCCTCAGCTGCCCAGGACTTCCCTGGGAGGGCTTCGTCCCTAGCTCCCTGGAGTGAGTGCTGCTGCAGATGGGCGTCCGTCTCCCAGGACACTGGTATTCTGCTGTCACTGCTGCTTTCTCTCCATGAGTTGAGACTCTCTGAGCTGTCTGCCTGTCTTCAGTCGCTCATGGAGTTGCCGCCCAGCAGCAGTTCTCAGGGAATAGTGCTTGGATCAGAATATGGAGGAGGACATGGCCTCCCCTTCCAGACATCTGCTACTCTGAAAACTCCTTCCCCAATGCTCCCCTCTTCATCCTGCTCTGTGCTCCTGGAGCTACCCCTGCGGGATGCATGAGCCTTCCTGTTGGGCCCAGCCAGGAGGACCACGGTAGGAACCAGAGACAGGGAGAAGCAGAGGTCAGTGTTGTATCCTGGTTTCCTCCCCTCAGATTGTCACAGGACAGTGACATCCCTCAGCTAAGGTCACAGCTCATGGCAGCAGGTCCCCTCCACCTGGCTCTCTCTCTTTCTGGATTGGGGTAATTACTTTTTCCCATTCCCTTCGGGCTTGAAGGGTGGGTAAGTGCACCCCATTATTTCCAGCCCAGGGCACTACATGCCTCCCCAGGCTTCCCTACAACCATTATTATAATCTTCTCAAATGACTCAGTTTTCTGAATAATACATAGAATATCTCCTCTCATTGAGAACTTGTGCCATAAGCATCAAGAAGAATTTACTTTTTACTTTTTACCTTTCTTTTTCTTTCTTTTTTTTTTCGCTGGGGCTGGGTTTGAACACGCCACCCCCAGCATATGGGGCTGGCACCCTACTCCTTTGAGCCACAGGCGCCACCCAACCCCTTTCTTTTTCTTAAATGACATTTTTTATCATGGGCAGAACAATCACTGTAACACTGGATGTCCAAAGCTGCAAATTTAGTAGAGAAAAGGGAAGGATGGCGAAAGAGCCCCTGCAGCCCCGACACCCACCTCCTGGGCTGTGTTTTGAGAGACATTAGCCATCACAAAGGCCAGAGTTTTATCTTTAGCTTCACTGATGAATCTAAAGAGAAGCAAGCTTATTCACGGTCAGATACTTTAAAACAGAGATGGAAAATTAGATGTGCCAGGGTCCTGCCAATTGTTCTGTTTGTGTGATCAAAGTCCAAGCTCCACCTGTGAGTTTCAGAAGCTCAGTATATCTATATCCCTGCCATGGGCAGGCCTGCAAGAGCAGGCTGGGGTCAGCGCACACAGAGGGTCACATTTGTGGCCTGGGCACCTGGAAGATGAGGCCTTCCGTAGGCCTTCCATTCACGGCCAGGATGATGTCACCAGCTGCAATGGCCCCATTCTCTTCAGCTGGCTGCCCTGGAAAGAGCCTCTTAATCCTCACAAGATCATTCTTAAGGTGGCTGCAACTCTCTCTCTCCATCTGCACAAAACTGAATCCCAAACCATTGGCATTCTTCTTCAGTTTGACTTCGAACTTGGGACCTGTATTGTGGGATGTTGATAAAAATAAATCCGTCAGTAGATTACAAGCGAAATGGACCAGCCTCAAAATGCAAATTGTCAAGCAAACGAATTACATAGGTTTTACATAAAAAGATTTCAGTTGCTAATTTTATGACAGAGTCCATTTTCCATGGTACAGATCAGTGCTGTCCGATAAAATATAACGTGAGCTGCATATACAAACCACAAACAGCATTTCAAGGTTTTCAAATAGACACATTAAAATAAAAGCAAAAGGAAAAAAAAAGCCAACAAAAAATAAAAACAAATTTAAAAAACAATTTAAAAAGTAAAAGGAAAGAGGTTAAATGAACTTTAATCATACATCTCATTTCATTCCAAATTAGTAAAATATACTATTTCAATATGCAATTGATATGAAAAAATTATTAATGTGATGTTTTACATTCTTTTTACAAACAAAATCCAGTTGGATGGGCCACAGCTTAAGTCCTCAATAGCCACATGTGACAAGTGGCTACCATAGTGGACAATACAATTATAGACAACAACTGCATTCATATGTAATGGTATTATTACTAGACACACACACCATGCCCTTGGCATTTAGTAAAACTTGTATACATACAAGCCTATTGCTCCTTTAGAACTCTAGTCATTTTTTGGTGCACTCAAAATTAAATTTTGTATGATTAGACCATGGAGACAATTACGGCCAACTTTATGGACAATATTTTAGCTGCTCTTTTGTTTAGCCACGTAGACTGACCATAAGACAAAACAGCTGCCTCTGGGCATCAAAGATGGATATAGCTGGTGCCTGGGTAATTTGGTGGCCAAAGAGGCCTCTGGGCCTCCCCTGTGTCTGGCAGCCCAGCTGGCTCTCAGTGCAGAGAGGGACAGAACACTGACTTGCAAACTTGGACTAGGGCGAGAATGGAGGCATGTAAAGCAGTTGGGTGAGGTGAGGTACATGAGCGACTCCTCAGTTCATTTTGGTGTCTGTTTCCCAGGGCCCCGTGCAGAGTGTGCAGAAGGGTAAGGACAGAGGCCAGAGGCTTGATTCAAGCACAGGTGTCCCCTCTGCCCCACCCTACTACTCAGCCCTTCCGCTACCTTGCATTCAATCTGCCTTGTACCTTCTGCTGCAGAACCCAAAAATCTCTATGAAGGAACTGAAAAATGGCTAAACTCCAAACCATGATGTACTAAGGAAATAAACATTTTCCTAGCAAGAAACTGAATCGCAGGGGTAGTGCAGAAGGGCAACTCATCAGAAGATATGCGATTATGACCCCTAAACAGACTGCAGACTTGCTTTTTAAAATGATGCAAGTAACAAAGCTAGACTGCAGAGCACCTTCCTCTCCTGACCTCCCAGGCTTCCTCGGGTAACTTCATTATAAAGCTGCCCTAATGCATGACCTTTTCACCCCAATTTCATCCTAAATACCTACACACAAACATTAACGTTCCAGCAGCTGATCAGAAGATGGAGGAAGGCTTGGAGGCAGAACCATGCCTGATAATCATTTTGTTTTCCAGAAACATCTTCCATTAGATTGGCCTCTGCTGCATCAGAAAGCCGGTCACATCATGATCGCCACTGCTCGCTTTCTTTTGAGAACCCGAAAAGCCTCCCTGCCTTTCCCTTTTGACTGGACAATTCAAAAGCAGCACACGATAACACGACAATAGTAACACTCAATCCTCTCTCTCTTACCATCTGTCACTGAGACACAGCTCGAGGGCCTGCCAGGCAAGGCTGTTACCAAGGAAACAGCCGTGTGCTCATCTCCCATCCTGTCATTAGAAGGACACTGCTGTGCAGTCCTGGGGCCTCTTCTCTCTAAGACCAGTCTTGCAACCTAGAAGGATGGGTGGACAAACTCGATTTACACTTCACTCGGCAGCCAGGAGGCACTGCCTGGACTCCACGCTTGTTTCTTCCCTCTCCGATGCTTCTGGTCGGCTGTTTCATCTGAATCTCTAGTCTAGCCTATTTGTTGGGATCCAGACCCTTATCTCCAACAGTTTATTGGACAAGTACACCTAGAAGTAACACGTGTGTCTCTTTTTTAGCACACTTAGTGCCAAACTCATCTTCCTCCTCTCGGGTCACCCTCATTCCCCCCACCTCATTCTGCCTAAAACATTCCTCCACTTGCATTTGCTCCCTCAGATAGGGAACCATCCTCCCCATTAGCCTCCTAGGGGCTAAGCTTCAAGTGGCTCAGCTCTCCCCCACCTGGTCCCCAGTGCCCCTGCCCCATGCCCTCTTTGGCTCCATGCCAAAGGCCTGCTGGGCTGCAGCAAGCCCTGCCAACTTGGCTTGCTGGACCCTAGCTGTGCCTACTTTGGTCCACCCCCATGATGGCTGCCCATAATTGGTCTAAGACACAAAGTGAACACACAACACACCTGATTAAAAGTCTAACATTTCCCAGCACCTAAAACCCAAACCTATACGTGGCATCCCAGGCCTGTCCCGAATGCCTTCCCCCTTTCTTCCTGGTTAGATTTCCCATGCTTCTTCCCACAACAACACTGTATAGCATTGTCAACCAAAGCATGGTTCAAGAACCCATGGCTAGATATCACACGGAAGCTTCTTAGAAAACCAAGCTTCTGTTAAGGGCCTTGGCCATGTCTCCGTCCTCCTGCTGCAACTGTCACTCAACATTTGGCCCAGGATTAGAGAGTGACAATTCCCACCTTCTATTGCTGCCAGTGGGCCAGCCAAATATACTCTCTAGCCATGTTCATTAGCAAGGTCTAAAGAACAGAAAGTGCTAATAAATTACCACTCTGTTCTCAAAGTATGTCAACCAAGGTCATCATGATAAGTAAATTTCACCAGAAACCAGAACACTACTCTAGGAAAGCAAACAAAAAGGGCAGACACTTCCCAGCAGTTGGCTGGACAGGCCCTCAGAGATCCTTTCTGTCTCTGCTGATTCCTCAGTTACCAAGAAAGCCTACTGTATGCCTCAGTGCCCTGGGGCAGTGAAAGGCTCCCACGCTTGGGCAGAGGACTGAGCACAGTGTGGTAACATCAAAACACTGCCGGGACACTGCTTGAAATAAAGCATACATAATGGATGAATGTCTCCACTCTCAGCATCCTGAATTTCTACCTCAATTGTGATGAGAAGAACCCCAGGATGGTCTGGCCCAGGGCATGAACACAGGGTTATGATAAATGGCATGAACTGGGGGTGGGGTGGGGGCTGCCATGTGCAAAGGTAGGGAGGTGAAAAGGCCTGAGAAGGAACGGATGCCCTGGGCAGAGGGCTTGAGCAGCCAGAGCCAGGCTGGGGTGGTACCTTCACTCCATCCGCTCTGCTCTGTTACTGATTCCAGAATCTAGGCAAGTGACAAATAAGTTTTTTAAGGCTATTTTTAGGGGGTGAGTTTCTCTGCTTTGAAACATCTGTCTGCTACCTCCTGGGTTTCATATCCCTATGGAAAAAGTGGTGGTAAGAGGAAGAAGTGAAAGAGATAAAAAAAAGATGAAAACAAAATCTTATTTTATGTCCTACCTATCTACCGTTTTTCTACCCAGAAGCAATGCAAGTTTCTGATGCTGTCCAGAAAATCTCCAGGAGGAAGGCCAGCTCCCCAGCCACAGTGCACTTACCTGCCCAGGGCCCTTGAGGCACTGCACAGCCTGCTTGTGGGTAAGGCCATACAGACTCACTCCATCCACCTGCAGGAGCCGGTCACCTGAGAAAGACAGATGTCCCGTTCCAGGTACCTGGGGCTGAAGGAAGGACCCTTTCCGGAGGCCATTGCTGATCCCTTTTCATGTAGCCTCAAGGAGCAGGGCAGGAAGCAGAAGGGCCGGGCATCCGCATGGAGTCACCAGGAGTCCTGCCTCTCTGGACACCCTTTCTCCCTCCCTCTGAAGCATGTAACAGATCAATGATATAAAAGCCTTTCTATTATTGGCTCACAGAATGGTTGAGCCAGCTCTGTTCAACCTTATCCTATCTCCTATTTTCCTGTGAAACCATTTTTGAAAGTATTTTCCGGCTGCTTAGGTATTTATATCTCCAGGATTTTTTTCTTTCTTTAATTTCAAAAAAGGTCAGAGACACATGGTTGATGCCAGAGACAGTGGAATACTATAGGAAATGGAGATAAGATCCCAGGTGTTGCTTGTGGCTCAATCCTGGCAGTTTTGGAGAAGAGTAGGAATCACCCCCTTCCATCAGAGCAGTGGGAGCTGAGGAAGGGCAGAGAGAAAGCTCACGGTATCCCTGTATACTAGAGTGGGGCACCAGTGCCAACTCTGTCCTCCAAGAGACTGCTTTGCTCTCTTATGAAAGCCCAATAGCAATATGCTTCTTTTAAGTCTTCTATTATTTTTATATCATCTTACATCTCCCAATGTGCCACTGCAAACATTCAACCCCATGTTAACCTATCAAGTGGTTACATCATCGCCTTTCCAGGTGAGGAAGTCATGACGTGGAGAGCAATGGTCTGCACAAGGTGGCCCTCCCTGCCCAGTGCTCTGCACTCCATGGGATGCAGGGTTCCCACCACAACTCCATCCCTCACCTAGCAGGATCTGCCCTTCCTTGGCAGCTGGCCCTCCAGGAACAATGGATTTCACATAGATACCTCCATGGAGCACGCTTGTGTTGATGCCACCCTGAAAACACAACAACAACAACAAAAACTCACCACCTGTCTATCCCCTTCTGGGGATCCTCCCCACCCTTTCTGACTGAAGGAGCCCCCACCTGCCCACCACTCTATCCCTTTGCCTCATCTCCATCTGGCACTACCTTCTGTATTCACCTGTTGTTTAGACTGTATTTCCCACTGAGCAGTAAGTTTAGGTGTCCACCAGAAATACAATAGAATCGAAGCCGTGTGTCAGAGCTGTAGCCCCAACCCCAGTGCATGGCCGGTGCTTGGTGACTGGTCATGTGGGATGCATCACAGCCTCCCCATAGGTTGTCACCAACATAGGTAGATGTAGTTCAGGGCCTGAGGGCTTGTCCCTGGCATGTCTTGCATACTTTGATGGGCCAAAGGATATGTGCATTTTGCATTGTAATAGACATGGCCAGATTGCATCCCAGTGTGAATATGGATGTACTTACTCACATTTCTCTCAGCTTTGTATGACAGTACTATTTTTCTGCACCCACCAGCTATATTTGGCTAAGCTGGTAGATATGAAGTTTAAAATTTCATTTTAATTCGCATTCCTGAGGCTTTTTATGGGGGGAGTTGAGTGTTTTTCATCTGTTTAATGGCCATTTGGATTTGAGTGAAACATTTCAAACATTATTTTTAAAATTAAATTTCCCCCAAAGAAAATCCAAGCTTTCTGCCAGCCAAAGGAAATCACCAACCTCTTGTCAGCATACGTATATATGTATGTATGTACATGTGTATATGTCTATGTATATATACATACATGTATGACATACATATTTATTTATGAATAATCTAAAATTTGTCATGTTTTTCAGATAAGAAGTGGCTACGTTTGGTGTCTGATAGGATTGTTACCCCAATCCAAGAATAAATGGACTATATTTGGTACCAGCCTGTTCACTCCATGTGGACTCATTAGCCTTGTTTCTTGGTTTCTTACTTATCTTACTTGATCCCTTAAAATCATCTGTGGATGACAAGTTTACTGCAGGCTGATGGTCCAACAATCCAGGTACCCCTGCTCCAGGTGCACAAAACTGTCACACAGGAAAGCAAAGAATGCCCTCTGTTTCCTGATCTCTGACTTTCCATTGGAATTTTTCCTTGGCCATGGCATTTCCTTACCTCTGAAATTCCATTGTTTCTAATCAACAATGAAATCCAACAATGGTGTTCCTGAAATCTAGCCCCATTCTGGGTCTCAAGGTAATGGATTTTTTCAATGCTCAGTAATAAACACAGCGCTTTCCAACCTCTGACCTCTGGTTTTTCACCAGCTTTAAGGGTGCTATTTCCCAAACCTTTGGGTAATTACAGTTACATGGGTAATCGCCTCCTGAAGGTTTTCTAGGTGAAGCCCAAAACCCAATGCAAAGTGTCAGTCCTGATGGAAGTCTAGCTGATGGAACTTTGTCCTACCCCTGGGAGGCCTGAGCACAAGGTTTCACCCTTATCCCACCCTACATGACAGTGGACTGACCCACTCCCCCTTGGCCAGATGGCACTGGACTGCCCCGATGGTCTTTGGCTTGTGTCCCTGAAGCCCCACCCTGCTGCACACTTCCTGGAATCCAGCTTGACCTCAGAGTCAGAACACATCTCCAGTTCCACCCACAGTGCCCTCTCATATTGCTGGGGTTCCTTGGCACCTACTCCTCATAACCCGAGCTTTCCCAGCACCTCTCAGTTGAACTCATTCCCCTATCAAAGGCCCCCACTGACTTTTTAAGTCAACATTTGCCCTGGTGTACAGAGAGCCCATTATGAAGGTTACTGTTTGAGGGGAATGCCCACACTGGACATCTTATTAACTGCTTTCTAATCTCCCCCGACCACTCTTACAGTCACACTGAATCCAAGTGTCCCATCTTCTTTAACCAGCTCCACGAAGTAGATCTCACCAGGCTTGGTCTCTGAAGGTCGTGGAGGACAAGAAGAACCAGCATCCTGCCCCAAACAAACACAATAAAAAAGACATGAGGCACTTGTCCTGCCTAAGCAGATGGCCCCTCTTAGCTCTCTTGTGCTTTCAGGAACAGGCAGCATTGCACCCCAGAAAGAACATGGGCTTCAGGCAGGGCTAGCAAGAGATTCCTTTTCAGCTTTATTAGTCCCTCTTCTTGTGGCCTTGGACAAGTCATTAGGTCTCTTGAGACTCAGTTTCTCAATTCATAGAACTTGAATGATGGCCCTCTTCACTGTGTGATTGTTACCGATGCCCTGCACCTAGCAGGGCTCCTCTCTCTGCTCATTGTGCACAATCCATATTACAACTAAAGCTTTCCAGGTACTTCCTGGTGACTTTGCACCTGCTACCAGCCAAGCAATGGTTTGCTGGATACCAGATCCACAGCAGCTTTTTGAGGGAAAAGACAACTTCAGAAGGACTTTTGGTTATTTTTAGCAAGAATGGCCACATTAGGTCTCTACTTGACAAAGGTTGAATGCTATAGAAGAGCACAGAAGATAAAACTTGCCTACCACATACCAGGCATTTTGCTTGGTACCATGACCACATCCATGTACAATTTGTTCATTCATTCTTCCAATCATGTAAGAACTTTTATTGAGCACTTATTATGTGCCAGGTACTATGTAAATTGCTGAGCAGATAGCAGTGATAAGATATACCTGTCTATGTTCAGCTACTATCTAATAGAATAGAGACCTTTAATGAACAGAGTCCCAACCAATTAACCAATAACTGTATGATAATTGTGATTACAATAAAGCGTGCAATACCCCTGGAGGCTCAGAGTTGTAAGTGCCCACACTCAGCAAGGGGAAGGACTGAAATGTGAGCTCAGGGTCTGCCTGAAACAAAAACTTAGGGAGACCCAGCAGGGAAGGAGGAAGCCGAGGGTGTGCTGGGCTGGGCTGACCACTGCTATCAGGCAGACAGTTCCTGATCCACTGGTCCCTGTCCCTAGAAGATGGGATCTGTTGTCCTATCTGGGCCCTTTGTTTAGTGTGTCCTGGTCACCATGTTGGAAAATACTATTAACCCACAGGAAAACAAACAAGCTAAAAAAAGCTAAAATATTATTAATCCGGTAGAAGTGGTTCCAAAGGGACCAGAGTAGTACCCGGCAAAGCCTCAGTTCTCCCAGAGACTTTCCACACCCATGGCATTTAAAATTTAGACCATGTCTAAGAATTCAAGGATTAAAACAACTGCTGAGGGTGAGACCTGATGTGAGATTGCAAACTTAACCACACCACAGAAGGTTATCTGGCCCTTTGTCTCCATGGCCACGCGACCCAGAAGAGCATGGGTTTGGGCTGTACATGCCCTACAGCTGGCTGTGTGGTTGACTGTGGCCTTGGAGCAACACTGCTCCCCTCAACTGCCCACCAGAAGTCAGCTCACCAGTCGGGTCTCAGACGCCCCAGTCTGAAGGCTTCCTGCCAGAGGGAACCTCCCAAAGGGCATCCCAGCGTGAAGGTCTCAGCTCCGGAGGTCAACGTATAGATTCCAATCCCAGCTCTGTCCCTTACTCCCTGAGGCACTATGGGTGTGTTCCTATGATCTCTGTGCCTCAGGTCCCCCAGCTGAGAGGCATTAATGATAATAATTATTTCACAGGCTTGTCCAGATGCTTTCACGCACAAACATATATAAAGTGATCAGGATGCACCTGAATGCCCAATTGGTGGCAGCTATTATCATTATTCTCCGGCTGATCCCCTGCACCCAGTTCTCATAGGATGTGCTGTCTCGGTGAACACCATGGCCAGTTAGGAAGGGACTAATGTTCATGGAGCCCTATTGCTTGCCAGATCCTAGTGATGCGGCTCAAGACACGCCACCCCAAAATATGGCATATGATAGACACTAGAGAAGCAGCACCGCAGGAAGGCCTCCACTGAAGCAGGTCATAACACCTGGGTGGATTTTCTGACCTTCCCCAGAAGCAGGCCCTAGACCCTCAAGAGAGAGGTGTCCCTATACCCACAGGAAAGAAGATCTTATCCCTGAAGACCCAGGGACACAGAGAGGAATCTGGAAAATGGGCCTTGCGGAGTTTCCCCTAGTTTATGCTCCTGCCCTCGACTTATGATGCTTCTCCACAGCTCTCCAGTCTTCATCATAACTGCTGTAAGACACACACAGGATGAACTGTTTCTTCAGGTCTTCATTGCCTCGTGAAGGCTCTTGAGTTACATAAAACTCATATAATTAATTTGTGTGCTGTTCCCTGGCTTTTGCTACAGGGGGCCACCAAATCTAAGATGGGTAGAAGAAAGGACAAGTTTCCTCCCTACACTGGGCACAGCCCCTTTGTCTCCATGGCTCTGTGGCCAGGTATCATTACCCCCATTCACAAATGAGAGAAATGAGGTTGAGAGAGGAGAGGTGCCATGATTTGCTTGTTTCAAAGAATAGGAAGGAGCACACAGCCAGCCTGGGTCAGGGAGGAGAGTTTATGCAAAGCCTAATGTCAGAGGTGCTGGCAGCCTTTAGAGAAACCAGTAAGAAGCTACTGATCACTGTGGGACTGGACACCGAGAGCATCACCACCCCAAAACCCAAGAGGCTAGAAGCAGGAGGTGGTGGGGCCTAGGGAGTCCTATGGCAAAAACCACCTGATGAGAGCTGTGCCCATCAGTAGTGGGACACAGCCAACCTTCGTCAGCACAGACAGTGGAAAGCCTGTCATCACCTGTCCTCCACCTGCAGGTTCCTATTGGAGCTTCTCCCGCCAGAACTAACCAGAATACAGAGAGATGACACAGCCCATGCATGTCACCCATGCAGGGCCCAGAGCAGAACAGAGAAACCAAAGTGGTCTGGAGGGGCCAAGGGAACCTCTGCCACTCAGTGTTCAAGGAGATAGAGACTTCATCTTCTTCTACCATGGGGTAGTGATCAAGAGCAAAGCCCTGGAGTCACCAGATTGAGGACCAACTAGAGGCCGAGAATAGGAGACGCCAGATTGCCCATCCATTGCCCTTGGCAGCAGCCAATTTCTCCATGTCATTATCAGTAACAATTATGATTCGTGTCCAAAGACACCAAAGCCTCCAGCACCGAGCCCCATAGTCCACACAGTGTGCTCAGAGCTCTGCCTTCTTGCCTCTATGTTCTTCCCAACAAGCATGCAGTGTAAGCGCTTGCTGCCCCCTTACAAAGGAAGCTGAGGGTCAGAGGGAACAAGGCCAATAGAGACCAAAGAAGGACCAGGGAGCCAGGCTGTCGGACTGCTCAGCCTGCTCTCTTTCCTCCAAATTCTAGAAAGTTAGCCCAAGGGATGATTACCTTCAGTGGCAGAGGGGAGAGCTGAGGCCTCAACCTGGACACGAAGCTCTGCACCTGAGCCACTCCTGGGCCCTCAGTAGTCCTGTCCTGGTCTTGTGCGTGCAGTGACAAGCTTCCCTGGTGCCCATTGTTCAGGATGTCCGTGGAGATGACCCCAGAATTGGCTGTGGTGCTCTTTTCCTCATTTGGGATATTTTCACAAACACCTATAAAAATAAGCCAAGAAGAAGTTAAGAGCTTGAAAAGGCTGGCTTCTCAGTGGCATCTCTGTGGGCGTAGCGTTCTCCTCCAATGACAAAGAGATCTTTTACAGCTGCTGGGAACAACATGACTTTAGCACCCTGTGAAAGATGGTGCATGTATAATAGAGAAAGGGAAGATGCTGGATGGGATTTAGAAACCTAAGTAGAAATTACATAACCCAACTATAAAAACACAGGTGCAGCGAAGTTAATACCACTCTCCCTTAATGTGCTCCTATCATATGATGGGTGCACATACATATGGGGATACACACACACATCTGGGGGGATATATATACACTACATATCTTCCTATCTTATCAACAGACCCACTGCAAAGGTGTTATCCCTGTCCAAACATGAGAAGACAGAGTCAAGAGGACTAAGTTGCTTGCCCCAAATCCCAGAATGTGGTGCTATCCTAAACCCAGCCCTCCTGGAGACTCTACTGAGCACATCCGTAATCACCATGTGATCCAAAAACCAATGTATCAGGTGCTTTGGGGGTGCTTGGTAATACCCAGACTGTGGGGTCCTGTGGAAGAAGGCTGGGCAACTGATTCTTGTTGACCCCAGGTCTGACTCTTGACCTGGCACAGAGCAGAGAAAGAACATGAGGTCACCAAACAACAGGTAAAACCCTGGACAGGGCATTTAAAATGTCCAGACCTCAACTTTCTTATATTTAGGATAAATTTACTCTTATGCAATTAATATCAATAAAGATATTGTAAGGTTGATAAGGCCGAGAGATTCTACACAGAGAGGATTTTACATATGTAGAGAAAGATAAAAATATATATATGTATATACAAGAATATATATTCTTTCATATATATTATATATGTATGTAACTCTCATATATATCTATATATACACATATATATACACACAGCTTAGTACATGGTAGAGACTCAGTAAATGTTCCTACTGTTAATATGTTAATATTAGCTGCTCAACAAATATATGTGGGAGGAATGCATAATCGTTAGATTTCTTTAGACCTAGATATATAAATATACAGGGAGATTTAGTACTTTTGAGATAGACTCATTAGTGCCCAGGGAATGGGCACATGCTGAATGAATTTGATTTGAATACATTTGATTTAATGAATTTGATTTGAAGTTACTCAAATCTAAAGGTACTCAGCAGGGAGCAGTAGGGCCACTGCTTCATCAGGCTGCATTCCTGGCCATTTCATTCACAGATGGCACTGTCATTGTCTTTCTGGCAATACTGTAAGCATCTGTTCATTTGCTTTCCATACAGACTATGAGAGATGAGGATGGGATTTATGTTTGAATTGAAAAGTCAAGCTGAGCACATACTAAATGTCCTCCCTACTAAATGTATGAGCCAGGAGACCTTCTATGGGCAATTAAAACTCAATTTATTGTAGACCACAGTGGCTGCTCGCGACAGGCCTATTATCTGTCTGACCTCGACCTCTGCTTTAACCCAGCTGTCCTCACAACAGCAGCTTAACCAGGTAGAAAATTGTGGCGGTCAAGGCTCTGCCCATGGAGACCCAGCCAGCATCACCATGGAAACATCTTCCTCCAGCCAAGGCCCAGCTGTGCGAGGAACACCACTGTGATGAAGGCAGAGATACCAACAGGTGACCAGAGCCCCACAGTGAGAGGATGTGTCATTCCCAGCCTTTGTGGGAAACCCATTGTCTGGAATTCTAATGTGAGGCTGTTGATTGAGCACTGCAGACTTCAGGTGCCAATTTTTGATACCCCCGTCATAGCAGGCCATCCTTTTTGACTATATTGAATTGTGATTCACCCACATGCGTTTCTTGACAAAAGAAAGGGACAGTGTGGTTCCTCCTCTCAGTGGAGGGAGAGGAGAAAAAATGCAGGAATTGCGGGGCTACCAGAGGAAGAAGTGTGGCGGTGCTGGGAAAACCCACAGGGATGGCTAGCAGAGGCCAGCCCCTGGGACAGCTCAGACACAGAATGAAAGGTGCATGGCTGAGGTCCCAGCACTTCCACCTCCCCCCCTGCAGCTTCTGCCCAGGGCAGCTGCACCGCAGGGTGTACAAACTCAAGAGTGAGCGTGTGAATGGTTTTCTGAGGGCAAGGCATATGGGTGCCTGCATTTAGAAACTTGAAAATGCTGGCTGGTGTGACATGAAGCATTTCTGTATATAAGGGAAAACGTACCAGGCCCTTAGAGTGTGAGGAAGCTGTCGGGGAGCCTGAATTTGCAGGCCGTCTGCTGTTAACTTACAGGATCATTCAACCAAAAAACTAGAGTGGTCCCAGGTAACCAGGGTAGGGGGATGTTAGCTCCCCCCATTTACCTCTATCAAGTCCCCAAAACCTGTCCCAAGTAAACATAATAATAATATTCTTTAATATTACATATAAGCAGTTGTTGCTTTCTCATTCTTACTTAAATGATGAAGAAAAGCATCTTTAAAAAGAAAAAAAATCCTCTTTGGAACATGCACACCATGTAAGAGCAGCACACTTGCTGGGCACATTCAGCTTCAGGAACAGTTAGTTCCCTGTCTCCTTCCCAGCTGATTGCTATCCCTAAACCCAAGCTACAGAAATCCCAGATAGCCGCTTTCAATAAGGACTTGTTTGACGATAAAAAACATCCTCCCTGTCATGCAAGGCAAGTGGGCAGAAGAGCACACAGAGGTTGTAACCAGCTGTGGCCAATAAAGAATGGGAATAGGCTCGGCACCTGCAGCTCAGCGGCAAGGGCGCCAGCCACATACACGGGAGCTGGAGGGTTCAAACCCAGCCTGGGCCAACGACAATGACAACTACAACCCAAAACCCGGGCATTGTGGTGGGCACCTGTACTCCCAGTTACTTGGGAGGCTGAGGTAAGAGAATCGCTTAAGCCCAAGAGTTTGAGGTTGCCGTGAGCTGTGACACTATAGCACTCTACGGAGGGTGACATAATGAGACTTTGTCTCAAAAAAAAAAAAAAATCCATGTGGATTTACAGATCCAGCACCTCATAGTAATAATGGGCTGCTGAGAACAGACAGGGCTCTTCAGCTTCTGAAAGCAGGTTTGAACATACCTTTTGACTGAGAAATGATTAATTCTATGTTGTCTGGAGAATTCTGAATCATCTTTATAGCCATGTTGAAGGTGAAGCCCTCCAGACTGATGTGATTCAGGGCTAGTATCTGCCCTCCTGGAAAAATAAAACATGTCAATAACCCACCAAGGGAGTAAGAGAGAGTGGTTCCTTAAAGCAGCACCTCCAGAGATTTCAAAAGAAGATGTACCTGGTTTAATCCTTTTGGCTTCCTCTGCTGGTCCCCCAGGTATAATGGAAGATATAAAAATGCCAGGGTCAGCTTGGCCTGCATTATCTCCCTCATTAATGACAAAACCTATAATCCAAGGTGATATTTGATAAGATGATAATGATTTTGCCGCTCAGAGAGGTTAGTTCATTTGCTTGAAATTGCACAGTCACCGAGTGACATTAGCTGGTTATAGTTGCACCCAGATCTTTTGATCCTCAGAGGATCCTTTCTACATAATACGTGGAGAAAAGTGCCTCATTGATAGACACTGCTAAAGCTGGGAACACAACCCACAAATATGCACTGGCTTTTGCTCCAACAGATAGTCAGAGATAGGAAAGGGATGATTTGAATCAAGTACCCTGTTTCAGTACCTTATTTGCATGTGGTTTTTAAGGTCTTACAATGTGGTCAATAGTAGGGGGTAAAAAAATCGACTCTTCTCTATCACTAAAAATCTAAACGTACTAGAGACGGTTATACTCTAAGTATTAGGGGCATTGGGGGGGGGAAAGGCTTTGTGGGTATGTTTAGATTCACCCCCCAAAATGTACTGGGCCTAAAAGGAAAACATTGAAACCAAAGTCCCATTACTCTCTAGGGATGGTTCAAGGGGCGGGTGGGGAGGGGAGGAGGCAGGAATGATCCCTGAAAAGGCAGATTGAGAGAGGAGGGTCAGGAGAGGGGAGCAGAAACGATGAAAGAGAAAATGGTACACACCTCCCCTGTTTGTCTAACATGAGAGAACAGGCCTGGCCTGCGGGGAGGCCCTCTTACCAAAACCACGATGGGGATCGCGTTTCAGGGTCACACAAACGATTTCTCGGCCTGGCTCGGCTGTAAAGCTCTTGTTCCGGTTGTTCTGTGACCCTGGAGGTAGAAAGAAAGCACCATATTGTACATTGTCCCCAGATTATTTGGAACCTCATACAAAAGAAGTGAACAGTACTGCTCGCACTCTCTCTCTCTCTCTCTCTCTCTCTCTCTCTTTCCTAAAGGCAAAAGTAGTTTACATTTACTCTCCCAGTAATACTGGGAAGGGGTCACTGCACAAACATCCCCAGTGAGCCTCACTGGGTCAGTGTTGATATAGTTGGGCTTAAAGAGCAGAAGCCAGGGCAGGGTGGCAATGGGGCTTGTTTCCTGTATGATTTACTAGCTTTTTTTCCCCCCCCTGCATTGGCCTTGAGACAGAAGATGAACAGAGACTCACTGGCAGTGAAAATAAAAATGAAAACTAAAACACAGAAATGAGACAACAAAGCCTTCCCATCTTAGACTACTAATGATCAGGGGGTGCCTGGACAGCAAGCCAGCCTTGGTGCCCTGTCGTGCTCCCCAGCTTGGGTTGCCTGTGAGCAACACCAGAAATGCTGCTTTAAGGAAATGCTCTTTCTTATTCCCTTGGTGGGGTTATTGATATGTTTTATTTTTCCAGCACCCTAAAGTTGTTGCCTGTGAGCTGGAGTCCTGGATGAGTCCCTGCATTGCTTGCCACAGTGTACATAGAAAAGTTTCCAAATGTGACCCAACAGCACAATCCTTCCACATCCCTCTCTTCCCCAGAAACCACAGGGGACCTGGCAGACAGTTCATGGTAAAGAGCTGCCTGGTGGCATTCCAGCTCCAGCCTCCAGGCTTACTGATCATCAAGCAAAACTATTTTCCCTCATGTGGAATCTCCTTATCCCTACATTCAACTGGGAACTGGCCAGGAGGCATATCAGAGGGGAATACTGTCTAAGCCGTATGTATTTTTCAGTGACTAATAAAAGGTGATCTTCTGGGCCTGTGTGAAGAAGTGTAACTAAAACAGATAGTGCGTTTTTCTAAACATACTATTCTACAGTAAGTATTTGTCCTTCTGGACCAGAGGGCATGGATTCTTTCTGTCAAAGCTAACACATTTCCTATCTACATATCCAGCCAAAGCCAAATGCTGACTCTGACATTTCTTCCTGATCATAAATAGTTTTGAAACTAATTTAAAAAAACAAAAAGGTTGTGGACAATGTCTGGGAAGCAAAATGAAATGGTCGCAAAAGCTGTGAAGCAAGCTTCCTGCATAAGGTTTCCTGTATCCCAAACCTTCCCACGGCCCACTCATACCTGTGCACAGGCTCTGAACAGGCAGCTCAGAGAGAGAGTCACTTGGCTTCTGGATCACACAGGTGTTCCCTAGCTGCTCCCGGCCAGTGCAGGGGCTGCAGGAAAAGGCAACAAGGTAAGATGAAGAGCCCCCTGGAGGCCACTTCTCAGCATTTCTGAGTGTGAACACAGGCCTGGGGAAGGCAGCCTGATGTCCAATCCTTCAGCGGATCCTCAGCCAGATCCTATAAGGGCTGATCTGGTCATCAACGTTCAGGAGGAGGGATGGTTTTAGAGTATGCCTATGTCTGAAGTGACACTGCAGCCACCCATGTGTCATAGGAGCCTCCCATTGTTCACCTTCAGGTAAGAAATCTGGCCCTTCAAAACCTCCATTTCCTCATCTACAGAATGAGAATAAGATTCCTATTTCCCAAGCCTGTGATGATAGCAAAATGAGATGATAAGTGTAAAACACCAGCACTCTCAGTGGGTCCTGACGCCTTGTCATCTGCTCTTGCTTTCAGCAGAAGGCCCTGAGGCTGTACATTGTCACACACCTGCTTGATCCTCACAGGCCTTTGGGTTGGGCACTGTGAACATGAAGCCATCACACAGGCTGAATGTGCAGCATTCTAGTAAGCAAAAAGTGCTCTAGGCCCTAGGAGGATAGCGAATCAAGAGTCCTGCCCGTGCCTAGTGTCAGCTCTACACAGAGATAACCGACATTCAGAGATGAGCACAGTACAGAATGAGAAGGCAGGACAGACGCAAAGCTGCAGGCGCTCAGAGCCTGGAAAAGGCGGCTCTCACCTGCAAAGTCTGTCAAACACCTGAGAAGATTCTGGTGCCCTCAGTCACCTGACTGTCTCCACCCTCAAAGAGCCCACACCTGTGCAATGGCTGCAGGTAGCTGGACCCTGGCTGAGGGTGCTGGCCTGGCAGCTCTCAGCACAGAACCTGGCACTGTTCAGAGGAACTGGAGCCAACAAGGGAAGAATGGGCACAACAGGGGGAGAGGTGAGGTGCAGCATGGAGCAGCTCCTCAGAGGGAAGGGAGGTGAGGCAGAGCGGGGCCTCACTCTGCCCTGCCCTGTTTGTGCTGTGCACTACAGCAAGATCAACCCAAGTCATGGAGAACCCACTGACTCGCCCACTGACTGGCAGCAATCTGGGAGGCAGAGGCAGGAGGATCACTTGAGGCCGGGAACACAGTACCTAATGCAGCCCTCCCTGGGCTCATCTTGGGAATTACCTCACCCTAAGGCTACATCTGTTATGCCTTAAACGCTTCTCCCATTCTGTTCCCCTGATGAGAATTTGTGTTCCTAGAGACCAGGGGGAAGGCACCAGCATCAGGATATGCACCACAAACCTGATCTGTGTTCAGCATTACAATGTGGTTTCATTCCCACAGCCACCCAGGGCCCCGGATGTTATTGCACAAGGCTCTCCTGCCTTTAAATAATAAAGTGCTATAAAGTACCATTAGTGTGAGGGATATAGGTGAAAGATGTACACAAATCCTTTAAAACTCCTATATCACTGGGCATAGTGGCTCGTGCCTAGCCACTATGGGAGGCCAAAGCCAGGATCACTTGAGCTTAGGAGTTTGATACCAGCCTGAGCAAGAGTGAGACCTCATCTTTACTTTAAAAATAGAAATATTAGCTGGGCATCATGGTAGCCCCAGCTACCCGGGAGGCTGAGCCAAGAGGATCGCTTGAGCCCAGGAGTTCAAGGTTGCTGTGAGCTATAATCCACAGCACTCTACCCAGAGCCAACAGAGTGAGACTCTGTCTCAAAACAAACAAACAAAAAATAAAACTCCTACATCAAGAAATGGTGTCTATTTCTGCTCCCTTTGAATCTGTGCTGACCTCCGACTATTTTAACCAGAGTATGGCAGAAGTGACACCCTGCTGGCTTCAGGCCTAGACTCTAAGAGGACTGGCCCTCTCCTAAGAGCTGCCAAGCAGAACCCCGCTGAGCACCCCACATGGAGAGGGCCTGAGATTACACAGGGAAGGAGAGGGACCCAGGAAGAATCACATCCTATCTATCCACACCAAGGGACTAGCATGTGTGAGTAAAGTCCTCTTGGATCCTCCAGACTAGCTCAACACCTGCTGAGCCCCATGATGACTCCCATCAATAACACACGAAGCAGAAGAATCCTCAGCTAAGCCCTGCCTGAATTTCTAACACAGAAAATTGTGAAATGGAATAACAAAATTCTTGTTTTAAGCCACTGTGCTTCGGGATAGTTTGTTACACAGTAATAGAGGCTCAAAACACTTTGCTTCACTGTTACTGGCATTGGACGTGCATAGTGACACCCATTCGCATTAACAGAGTTTGGGAGAATCATTTTCTAAGAACTATTTGGCATAGACAGAGATACAAGTTTCAGTTCAAATGAATCATTCATGCCATCCTGCTGAAGCCCCAGAAAAGGCTTCTACAGCAACCTTCATTGGTCATGTGCTGCCTGTGACTCTGTGCTATTTATACAACTTGCAAAAGAAGTATAACCCAAGTCGTAGGCTATTTTTAAATTTAGGGACCATTGTCTTATCATGCAAAGTTGCATTTATAAGCTCATTATTTTCACATAAAAATGTAAACTGCAAGCAATCTATCAGTCAATAGAGAAGATGCACAGTGTAGTGAGTGGTTAGGAGTCCAGTATCTGGGGCCAGCTATGTAGGTTCAAATCCTAACACCTCGGTCGCCTCTCCCATAAAATGGGGGAAGCAACAGAAATATCTTGCAGAGTTATGAGGATTAAATTAGTTGATGTGCACAAGAACAGGATCTGGCTCACAATGAAGCCAAATAGGCCTATCACAACTTGTTTATTTTGTCCTCTTCAATGTCATATTATCACCTAGTTCTTTCTCCACTGAAAAAAATGGGAGCACATGGTAGGAGGAACAAGACCCTTGTTCTATAGCATTTAGCTCAGACTCAACCCTTCTGCAAATCGCCACAGAATCAGTTGACAGTTGCCCAATGAATGCAGATGTTTCTTAGCCAACTAACATCCTTCCAACAATTTCTTCAGGTACAGGTTGCTCCAGAGCAGGAAGCACATGGTGGTTGGGGCCCAGAGAACAAATGCATCCAACCCACCTGGCTCTGACGCCTTCTGCCCCGACCTCCTTGCTGGCTTCTATGTGGAAGTTATCCAGGGACGTACTCAGCAGGCCTCCTGCAGCATCCTGCACCCGGGGTGCAAACAACTCATTTTCTGAGCACGACAATCTCCGAATCCAAGTGAGAGGCTTAGACTGGGCAGAGTGTGCAGGACTCAAATTGACCAACTGCACAAACTTATCATGGTCTGAATTGTGAGAGAAAAAAATAAACACACACACACAGGCTGGAGCCATCACTCCTGTCCTAGGAACACATCCCCAGCCCCAGGCTCCCTCCCTCTGTCTTTTTCTGGAACTTGGAGGCCTGCTATTTTGCCTCTTGTCTTGCATTTGCCTGAGAATCCAAGTTCTCCTAATTAGCATTTGCTAATCAAAGATAGCTCAGAAACCGAAGAAGGAAGAGACAAGAGGTTCTGCCTCCCCCTGTAGCTAACAGGACTCTTAGACCAAAGGAGCCTGTTCTAAAGGGTGAGACCCGGAATGTCAGGCTCCAGCCAATAGGCCTATAAAATTGGCCCCATCCCCTTCTGCTTTCTGCCTTTACAGATCTGCCCTCCAAATGTTCTTGTAACAAATGGGTCTTCAAATCACCTGGGCTCTCAGGGTTAGGCTTTGCCCTGTGGAGTACAGTCTTTAATCTCTGCACGGCTTAGTTTGCCATGGTAGTAATATTTAATGTAAGGTCCTATTTCCTGAAATATAAATGTGTATCAGATGTTACGAGCACCAGGCTTTGACACTTTCCTTTCTCCCTTCATGCAGAAAGGTTTCATAAATGACTCTAATGAGATCCTGAACTTGAGGCCATGGAAGTGAGTTACTCCCCACTTCACTATTCTTATTTTTCATAAACAACTGGGATTCAGTAAATAGATCCTTTAAGTTAATGAGGCTTTACACAACGCCAAGTTAGTATTCTGAAAAAGGAAAATGATGACTATATTCTGACCATCTGCTCCTTGCTAAAACCAAGAAAGAAAGAACGGTCAGACACATGGAGATCGTGGGGCTCTGGATTTCTGGGGAAGGGGAGGGCACACACGCTCATACATATGCACATCTATAGCGTGTTGAAATGCCTCCACTTCAGAGGTGTCTGTGGGCATTTATTTCTTCAAACAGAACTTGACTCTTTCCTCCAATGGTGTCTGATTCATTGCCAGGGCTGTGCCCACTGAAAAAGCTAGATTTAAAAAAACACTTTTTGAGAATTTTCAGCATGCAGGAGACATCATGGTACCATCCCTCACATGCAGTAGGCAAGAAAGAATGGAGGAATATGAATAACTTGAATATGACCTGTGGCTTTTGCACAAATCATATAGTATCTTGTTTTAAAGCTTGCACTTGGCCAGAAACAGGAACAACACGGTAACATCAACTCTAACAACGATTATTTGCTGAGCACTTATTACGTGCCAGGGACATATGAAGCACATTATCTGTATTGTCTCATTTAACCCTATGGAGTAGATATTATATACACCCATTTTACAGATGAGGAAACTTGGGGCTGAGAGAGTTGATGCTTTGCTCATGGTCCCAAGGCTAGGAAGTGATAGAGCAGGACCCATACTCAAACCAGCTGACTCCACACTCCAAGCAGAAAAATGAAGGTGCCAAAGACACAAAGACAAAGGCAGCAGCAGAGGAAGTTCATCTGAGGCAGGGGCAGCGTTGTGCTCACCTTAGACTAAATTACGATAGCTACTAACAGATATTAATACCCATGGGGCGTATTGTAGCAGAAACAGTGGAGGCAGAATCTCAGGCAGAGAAGTTAACAGATTCAAAGCAAGATAGAACCAAGATTAGAGTGATAGGGCAGAGTTGACAGAAGGCAGCAGAAGAGTGAAAGCCCCAGGGGTCTGCAAGAAGCTGGGGACTGAAGGAGGAAGCTCAGTTGACAGGACAGGGGCCTAGTGGTGAGGTCAGGAAATGAGACCCCAGATGTCAAGCACTTGGCATGAGGGACTCAGCATGCAGTGGCAGGCTGGCGGCCTGGGTGCTAGCATCATTATGAGGCCCCAGCTTCATGGGGCTGATCAGGTGGATAAACAGTGGAGGGAGGATTTGTTGGAAGGTAGAAGAGCCAAGAGTTGACAGCCTTTCGAGAATGGAAAAATAGGATTGTCAAAAATGTCTCAAGGCTACTGGCAAACCAAGGAGAGTGGATGGGTTCCGTTTCCTGGCCGTGCATGGCTCACAGCATAATTGTGGCACCAGCAAAATAGCTGACAACTGTCTAAATTCATCTAGATGTCAGGGGCTGAACTCCTAGTTAATTCCAGTGTTTCATGGGGGACCGGCTGAAAGCGTCCTGGACCCCCCCCCCAGGCTACCAATGGGAAGGGGTTGAGTCTCACTCTGCAGGGCTGACAGATCCTGCTTGATTTAGTCCTGAAATTATGCATGTATAAAAGCTCAGTGATTTGTCTTTCTCCCCAGGGAGCCAAATATAACTACAAAGTAATATGTTTGTTGAGACAATTCATAGAAAAATGACTAAGAAACATTTGGAAAGTGTTCAACTTCTCAACAATCAAAGAACTGCAAAATAAAGCACCAGAGAGGAATCATTTTTACCTACCAAATGAACAAAGATAAACATGATTATATCTATTCCAGCAAGGCTGCAACAGTACAGGCAGGACGAGTGGGCCTGGGAGTGGCACTCAGGAAGGTAGCAACAGCCTTACAAACGCCCTGGCTCTTGCAATTACACTCCTGAGTTATAGCTTACAGCAGTGGTTCTCAACCTTCCTAAAGCCGCGATGTATTTTCATTGTCACAAAGGGGTCACAACCCACAGGTTGAGAACCTCTGGCTTAAAGAAATGACACAAGATACAACAAATATTAACTTCCAATGATGTTTACAGAGATATTGCCTATTGAAAAGCAAGCTAAATATCAAAAAAGCACAGGGTTAAGTGTATGATTGTATTTTCATACACATCATCCATCCCCGTACTCCAAAAGCATGTATTTACCACTTCCCATGTGGCAACTTTTGTTCCATGCTGAAGCTGTAAGCAGTGCCTGCCCTCACAAAGCTCCCAGCCTACCACAGACTAGACGCAGAGATCTCCACAAACAGAAGTGGCAGAACACTATAGTGGAGAAGACAGAGGTCTGCACAGAAGAGGGAATAGTCCACTACATCTGGAGCCAGTCAGCTAGCCTTGAAGGAAAGCCTTCAAGGAGGAGAATGCTCTCGTAAACATACTTAAAGAGAATCAGGCTTATCTTGGGGGTCTGAGCCTGCAAGGGGTTAGGAACCTCCTTGCACGCAGAGGATATACTGAGCCCAAAGGACCCTGAATCTGAACCTTCCTGGTATGTTTAGCAGCCTACAGCATAGCTGGAGAGCAGAGGGAAGGAGTCAGGGCAAGAGATAATTTAGGGTTGGGGCCAGACTGGTGAGAGTCTGATGTGCCATCCTAAAAAGTTTGGGCTTGTCCCTGCAGGCATCAGAGAGCCACTGACAACTTTTTAGTATAGAAAAACACAATTGGATTGGTTCCTTTGAATGGTCATTCTGAAGGGTGAGAGAAGGTTAGTAAAAGAGACATGAATCCAAGCAGGAAGCCCGTTTGGGAGTATTTCACGGCAGGTGGGATGGAAAGAGAGGGTGCATAACCAGACCCTCACATGTCCTGCAGGGACAGTGGGTGGTTCCATTTGAAAAAGACAAAGACTACAGTGGAGGGAGTTGCATTAGGAGGAAGAGATCAACTGTGGACAGGCTGAACTTCGGGACTGTGTCGGGCCGTTGGGTGGCACTGCCTGCAGTCACTGAAAATGGGGTCTGCAGAGAGTTTCTCATATGAAAACATTTTTAATTTTTTTTTAATTTTTATGTATTTTTTTTGACACAGGGTGTTTCTCTGTTGGCTAGGCTGGTATGAAGATATATTTTTTTAATTTTTTTTTATTATTTCTTTTCTTTTTTTTTTTAATTGAATGGTAACTGTGTACATTAATGCACTTCAGGGGTACAGTGTGGTGTTTTCACACACAATCTGAAACACTTCCATCAAACTGGTCAACATAGCCTTCATGTAATTTTCTTAGTTATTGTGTTAAAACGTTCCTATTCTACTCATAGAAAGATTCACTTGTACCCTTGTAAGATACACCACAGAAGTGAACCCTCGTATAAAGATATTTTTTAAGGCAAGGAAAATTATCTAAATGAATCCTTTTAATGCAAATAAATGTTAGGTTCCCAAGAACTCCTAAGACAGAATTTGTGGTTTGAAGAAACAGTCTATTATGAGCAAAATAGGTCTGGAAGGACTAATTTCACAAGTGAGCTCCTGGAGTCTTTATAAATATTTTACAGTCACTGAAACCCTGGCAATAAAAGCAATATTGATGGTGTTTCATACTCTGTTCTCAGCAATAGCAGGTAAGTCAGATATAATTAATTCACATTTGTCATCTCCAGCTCCCTGGAAACATCCTGGAGTCACCACCCTGTGGTTTCAGGGAAATGTTTATATGTTTATTTGATCCTGCTGCAAATGATGTGCTACCTTTATTTTCTGTGTTTTATTCTGCAACCGAAAGCTCAGCGGTTTTGTTTCCCAGATGATTCTAACTCCTACATCAGGGCTCAGGACCCAAGGGAACAGCTAGCACTGAACAGGAGTCACCATTAGTGCTCTCATATGAACGTGGACCGTGACGTCACACTGGAAACACTGTACACCTGGAGCACAACACAAACCCACAAGATGGCCCATGTGCTCAAATGGGGACACTAAGGTTCAGACAGGGGAAAGGAGTTGCCCAAAGTCACACAGCTCATATGTGACACTCCCCTAGTCCATAAGAATCCACAGGCCACATTCCAAGTCAGTACTTCTCAAACTTTATGTGCATCCAAATGGCCCCCATTCTTCATAAAAAGCAGATTCCTATGGGTGATGAGAATGATATTGTGGGGATCACGCCTATGATTTCTCCTATTAGGGTACATGTGAATTTGTCTAAAGGTCGAATATAAATGTCTTAACACAACAGTTATGAGAAAGACATGATGGCTATGTTAGCCAGTTGGATGAGAGTTTTTCAAACTGTATATGGAAGCAACACACTGTATCCTATGATAGAATTAATGTACACAATTGTGATCTAATAAAAAAAAAAATCACTAAATAAATAAATAAATAAATAAAAAGCAGATTCCTATTTAATTGGACTGGGGTGAGGCCTGAGAGTCTCCATCCATAGCAAGCTCCCAAGTAACATGCATACTTCAGGTCTCTGAACGTGAAGGGCAAAAACCACACTGTAGTAGATTCTTCTTTCGTCAAAGAAGAAATAATGTGTAGAGAGCAACAGCGACTGCAATAAAGCCAGTGCTCAAAGCCAAGTTCCTCTAGCGCTCACATTCATGCTCTGGTTAATTTTAAAAGGCCATAACGCAGGCACTGGGCCCCAAGAGTCACAGAGTCCAATCTTAGCCCTGCCACCAAGCAGCTGGCAGGTTATTAAACTTCTCCAAGTTGTCAGTTTGCACCTCTCAGTACCACTGATGCCTGGCCCGGGGCTGCTGGACAATTGTAGTTTGAGAAAACAATATATTATGAACATAGATGAGATCATTCATGTAAGCACCTAGCATAATGTCATGAAACTGTAGTAAGAACAATAGTAAACAGCTCTGTAGCACTTCCTAAATGCTCAACAAGGATTAACTAGTCTTATGTGACGTGTGGCCATCTTTCAACCAATAGCCTCTTTCTTAATTATATCAATAATATGTATTCACTGTTGAAAGTATATTAAATACTGAAAAATATAAAACAGTAAACAAACTTGTATGTGTACCTAACTCAAAGGTAACTAGGAATTTTTTGGTGTAGTTCATTTCTGTATTCTAGCTTGCTTACTTTGTAACATGTTAATATTAACCAAATCAGTATCATGTGTCCGTATCTGGGCTTTCCAGTACGATAGACGCACGTGGTCATTTAAATTTAAATTAATGAAAATTTAATAAAATTCAAAATTTAATTCCTCAGTTCTTCTTGTCACCTTTCAAGTACTCAAAAGGTAGCTGCTACTACCCAACTCCCACATTCTGTAGATACTTCTATCATCGAAGAAAGTGCCATGAGATGGTGCCGGACAACTTGCTTTTCCTGACTTAGAAACTGTTAGGGGCAAAACTAATTACCACTGAGAGTCCATACTCACACATGGAAAACCCAAGGGGTTTATTCTTATCAGGCTTATGCTGGGGTCACTCCCATGAGAAAAGCAGAAACAGTGGGGAGCGGCCCCTAAACAAAGGCCAGGGAAACTTTTATACATTTTCCCGCAAAGTACTATGGGTTGCAATAAAATGCTAAAGAAGATAGCTGAGGAAGAAGCTAGTGTCCGGTCACTCATTGGTCACTAGGGAGGTCTTAGGGTTCTGATAGGTCAGTTGTTTGCTTGTTGTTGGAGTTTTTGCCAGGGTGGAGGTGTGGGAACTTTTGATTGGTCCCCGCCACCTGGGCTGTGTACCTGATTTGATTTATGGCCTATGCCTGTTTTGGAGCTTCCTGCAGCCCTTGCTTCCCTCCCTCTCCTCCGTGTCTTCTTTCTTCCCCAGTCCTTTACATTTCCTACTTTTACCACTACCATCACTATTTAAAAGCAAAGCAAAGAAAATAAAAGTAATCATTAAAAGTAATCATAGCCGCTCTCTCAGAAACGTGTCGTGTACCGTTCACACATCATCATTCCCCTAAAACTGATTTTACTGTCTAAATTTTATAGATGTGCTGTGGTTTATGTAACCATTCTTTTGTTTTTCGATACTTACATAGCTTCCAAAAGTTCACTGTTAATAAACATTGCCCTAGTGGACAGAGACGTTAAACTTTTGTGTATTTCTCTGCTGATTACCTCAGAATACATTTCTGAGTAAAAGTAAAAGTAATACCTAAGAGGACATGAACATTTTTAAAAGGCTTTTCCTACATAGAACCAATTGCACTAACTAAAGGTCATATCAATTTACCTGCCCAATGTTATTTATTTTAGTGATTGCCAATCTGAGAAAATAAAATTGTATTTCATCTGCACTGTCATTTCTATAGTTCATGGGTGAGATTTGCAACTTTTTAGAGGTTTCTGAATCAACTGTATTAGTATCTCTTTATATAAGTTGTTTCATAAAAGAACAAACTTGCCAACGTGTACGTTGAGAATACAGCATCTACTCACCAGTTAAAACTTGGGGAGAAGGCCCAGAGCCCATCTGTGCATTAAACCCATGCTGGGCAGAGCAGAGACCCAGTAGATATTTACAGGTCTTGGCTGAGTTGGTGACAAACGTGTGCTTTTTCCCGGTGACACTGCTTGTGATGGTGAACTTTTTTTGCTGAGGGAAGCAAACACAGACTTTAATACAGTGATCGGCCTTACCATCTGTGGAACCACCGCTGGACAGAGAGTAATAAAACACTTAGTCCCTCAGGTCACTATCAATGTCCCAGGAATCCAAAGTGGCAGGTCTTGTCTGACTAGGGTCTGGTATTTTTCTTAGCTTAGACAAAAATCCCTCTTTTTATTTTTTCCTTCATTCATAAACCAAGTGTTGATCAGGCAATTGCTATTTGCCAAAGAATGTGTCGCCTGAAAAGAATATGAAACAAGTCAGGTGCATTGGCCTCCCCAAGGAGAGAACAAAACCCTCAGTGTGCATTAAGAAAGGGCCATAGAGTATTCCTATTGCTTTTTTTTTTTTCTTTTCTTGAGACAGAGTCTTACTTTGTCACCTTGGGTAGAGTGCCGTAGCGTCACAGCTCACAGCAACCTCAAACTCTTGGGCTTAAGTGATTCTCTTGCCTCAGTCTCCCAAGTAACTGAGACTACAGGCACCCACCACAACACCTGGCTATTTTTTAGAGGTGAGTTCTCACTCTGGCTCATGCTGGTCTCAAACTCTGTGAGCTCAGCCAATTCACCTGCCTCAGCCTCCCATAGTGCTAGGATTACAGGCGTGGGCCATTGTGCCTGGCCTCCTATTGCTTTTCTGATAGAAATTCTAAGAAGGTGTATTACATACACAAAAATCTTAGCTGGTAGGGTATAGATAAGATAAAAGTACTTATGTGTGTCCTCATCTCTCTGGCTATTACATCCCAGGTTCTGTTCTGAGTGCTTTATGAATATAAACTTATTTTGTCTTCATAGCTGCTGAGGGTGGTTCTAGCCTAATCCTAGAGATAAGGGAACAGAAGAACTGTCCTCATAGTGCCAGACGAATTGAGGTCACACCACCAAGGAATGCTTCCCTACATTATACCTTCCAGGCCCACATACAAAGCAATAGTCCTTGTCCAGCTCACTGTGCTAAACTAATGAGGATTATCTGTATGGGGCTGTCTGTGCAGAACTTCATGGAAAAAGAGCCATGACTTACTGCAGTATATAATTCTCAAAGGAACAATAAGATACACAGTAATTAATTATATTAAATGTGAATTTATATTTCACTTACAAATTAAATCTGTATTCCAGATATTCTATGTATTTCAGTAAGAGCCTTGAGTTTGCTCCTATAAAGATAACATCGTAAAAACAGGGTTTATGGAGCAGTGCCTATAGCTCAGTGGGTAGGACGCCAGCCACATACACCCAGGCTGGCGGGTTCAAACCTGGCCCGGGCCTGCTAAACAACAATGACAAATGCAACAAAAAAATAGCCAGCATTGTAGCGGGCCCCTGTAGTCCCAGCTACTTAGGAGGCTGAGGCAAGAAAATCGCTTAAGCTCAAGAGTTTGAGGTTATTGTGAGCTGTGCTGCCACGGCATTCAACTAAGGGCGACATAGTGAGTCTCTGTCTCAAAAATAAAACAAAGTTTATGCTCTAAAGGGTTTCTAGGAACTCCTGATCCTCTGTAAGGCTGACCTCTTTTAGCTCCTGATAGCATTCCTAAGAAACTCCCTTCACAAAGTCAGATGTTAACAAAAGGTATATAGCTTCTCATTGCTTTTCCTCTGAGAAATTATCCTTTTTCCCATTAACCTAATTTTAGAGAATCTGGTCAATCTCTAAATACTCTTTACTGGTATTGACAAATGTAGTGCTGAGCCTTTCCGTGCAGAGGTGAATGGATTCAGAATCCAATTGAACCGTGCTATATCTCATACCACTTCAAACAATGTATTTTCTCAACGATTCATAGACCCTGTTTAACTGGGCTGAATAATTCAATCGATTGTTTTATCCACATTTTTCCAAAGTGGAATATTTGCTTGAAATCCATACACTTCATCAGTACACACGGATATGCTTTTTATATGGTCCTAATGATTTTAAATTAAGTTTACTCAGATATTAAAATTTTTTAGATAAATAAGTCTTTTTTTTTTTAACTGAATAGCTATTCTTTAACAAATCTGAAAAGAGAATCATTTACATAGACCACACACATTCAAACCTCACACTTTGTTTTGTCTTAGAACTCTCAAGAACGCTGCCCCTTGGGAGGTCAGTGCTCTCAGGTACTGAAGAGCACTTATCCCACTGTACAGGAGTGGAATACCAATCCCCATAAAGCTGAAAATAGTCTTCTCTGTCTGGATTTTATTTCCTTTTATCACCATTCCGATAACATCATTTAATGGGAAATTCATACCCACAGGCAAACTTTCACATAGGCCAGCTGCTCTGCGAGTAAGATGATGTGTAACTCCAGCCTCAGGGTTTCCAACACACGAACCTTTCCCTACACCCTTACGGCTGCAGGAGGAACACAGAAGGTGCTTCTTTAACGCCGGTTTGGCTGCCTGTTTGTTTTGCAGACGATAACGCGGTATTCTCCCAGGCAGAACCAGAAGGTAATGAAGCTACAGCCCCAGAGCCCTCACTCAGGGGGTGCCCTTTCCTGGGGGGGGGAGGACTCAACATGTGTTCACTTGTTCTCATAAAATGTGGAAAGTCAGGTGCTTTCACCATCGTCAGTTAAGACCACTGACTCTTCTTTCCACTTCTCCTACCAGAGGTGCTGGGTGGTGTGGGAGCAGATCCCTTTAATGAGAAGTTGAGATGGGGGCACAGTTTAGATTTAGTCCCATTTACTTTTGTGGTTTGCAGTCTCATCTGCAATTCTTACTTGGTCACCAGCCCCCCTAGACTACCCCTTCCTTTGGGCCACCTCGCTCAAAGTCTCAGCACAAAGGTTCAGGGCCAGGCCCTATGACATTGACCAGGCCCTAAGATACCCAGCACCTGAAGGATGTTTACAATATACAGAGCCAGTAGCCAGTCTCCAGGAAATATCTGCAATCATCAGAAATGATAAACTATCATTCAGTTCTCAAAAACACCTTATTAGGTGAAGTTCTGTGCTACCAGGATGTACTATTTAATTGCATATATTGTGTTATCAATATGCCACATTATAGTTTTCTTTTTTTGATTGGAAACGCATGAAATAGAACTTGAATTTCCTGCATTTGTAACAAAGAACTCTGTAGTAGCACTGCAAAGAGCAAGCATGTCTCTCTGCAAAGCTGCATGTTTCATGCACCGTATCAATCCTATCAATAAAAAACCAAATTTCCATCCGCCACGCTAGAAGACAAATTGCATTTCCATTCTCTCCAGAGAAAACGATATTACAAAAGTGTCATCATATGGAAAAATAATCAAAGAGTAAGCCACTAAGAGTTTGAAAGGAAAAAAAAGATTATAGACTTTGTCAGGGAGTTAATAAAAATATTATTTTCTGGTTTTTGTGATATTTGTAGCATTTGTTCAGCTTTTAAAGAATTCATAAGTTTCTGTGATGTCTTGTCTCATTCCAGATAAACATTCCTTTCCTGTGGTAGTTTGTAACTTTGTATTCTATTTCTTAAAGAGGCTCCCACATAGCCTACACCTGGTTCTCTTTCCACGCGTTTTGTCTTTTAACTGACTGGTGGTAATAACCAGGAATAGTCACTGACAGGGATAGGTTCATTGTTCCAGAAGGAACTCTTTCGCGATCCAAACATGTATCGATCCCAACACATCTAGAATCCTCTTTGGAAATGGCATCTTTCTCTAATTCCTTTGCTACCTCCCTGCAGGCTGGCAGGATGAATGATCCATGTATGCCTGAACCATTTCGGCTTCAGCTATTAATACGCAGAATTAAAACCAGCTTCCTGAGCTAATTCGCATCTTGCTCATCGTTCCCAATTTTGTGCTTGCAGAAGCATAAAGAATTCAAGTCATTTTCTGCGTTAAGATGCTTAGTTTGTGGCAAGCAGCTGGCGACATTACTCCCTGTGATGATTTGTTCACAAAAATAAGTCATTCATGCCACCGAAGAGGATGACCAT